GGCTTCGCCGCGGCGCCCCGCCGCTCGCACCGAGGCCTCCCTGGCCCTGACCACCCGGTGTGAAGAGCGGGACACGAAGCCCCTTTGTGGCTGGCCGAAGCCCTTACACTCGCAGCGTCTCGGGGCGCCCCTCGGAGACGTACCCCAGACCGGCGGCGGCCCTCCCCGTCTCGGACACCGATGAAGACATGGGCCCCGCGCCTTTATGCGCGGCTTCTCCACGGCGCCCTCGCTGCTGGGCTCTGACAGTGAGGCTCGGAAGCCCGGACCAGTCTCGGGGACCCCCGAGGGCCCTCCGACAGCCCCAGGGGGGCCCCTCCCCAAGACCCGATGGCGGGACCCAGCGCCTGTCCCCCGCACAGCGCCCGCAGGTGGAGGCCGTCCGGGGCCGGCGGCTCCGGCTCTGCTCCCCGCCGAGGGCCGAGGGGGCGGGGAGGATGGCTCCCTTCCCAATTTCTTTGGGCCAATTAGACTTGTAATAGGTAATCTCAAAAATGTCAAGGGTCATTTCAGTCTGATAAAATGATTCGGACTCGGCTTGTTTGTTCCTTTTAAAAAATGTCAAATTTATTCTATGGCTCCCCCACTCCTTTTCTTTTTTTTTTTTTTTAAAGCCATGAATGTAGCAACCGATTCGAGAGAATTTCAAGCCTTTCTAAGACTTTCTCGCTGAAGAATGAAAATTCTTGAATTTCAATTCCGTTTCAATGAAATCCTCACCCTGCTAAGTTTTTAACTAGAACGTTTGCTGGCCTACAAACCTCACTTTGTATCTGGTAAAAATAACCCCTGGGGCAGAATTTTTGCCTTTCCAGCTCAGTATTTTTTATCTGCTTAACTTGTTTCTTCCTCTAATACTGTTTTTTTTTTTTTGTGTGTGTGTGTGTATGTGTTTTTTAGTGGTTCGTTTCTATGAAAACCTACTATATTTGTCTAATTTTGTTTAAGATGGCAGGAAAGCTTCCAATCTGTTCTTTATTATTGGAGCAGAAAGAGGGAACTGTCTTCCTAGGGCTGATGTTAAATTGTGCATCTGCGGGTATGGCACAGGCAGTGATTTTAGTTCCCCGGCCTTGCTCCTGCTAATCTTCTGAACCACCCTCTATAGAAAGAAGATTAGAATTGAAATGAAGGAAAAAGTAGCCACAGCAAAAATACTTTGTCTTTTGTTCTGTCACACGTGCCGAGAACTAGAACGCTTTCTTGGGATAAACCCGAGCTGTTTTGTCTCCAGCATTGTAACCCTGAGAGAAGAAGTAGAATACCTTCTTTGTCCCCCATTTCTTACGTGTCTTTCCTCCGTATTTATGGAACATTCTGTGCCTCACTTTATCAGGACCCCATCCCTGTACCCAAGAGGATACATAGCAAAAAAAAAAAAACACACATTAATAGACTCCCCCCTCACATTATTAAAGGCACGTCTGTCTCCTGCATATGAGTGCATTGTTCATTTTTCAATTTTGCAAGTCCTCAAAATATTTGCAGCTTCTGAAATGAGATAGTGTTTTCCACGTAACTCACTTCATGTTTTATTTTCCGGAACATTACTGTGTAATTTAAGCTGACTGTATAGTCTTGCTATTTAAATAGCCTTATTTCACCTTCCTGAAGCCAGAGTAATAATTAGCAGGTGTAATCTCTAGAAAATGCAAAGGAAACAAATAATGCTGGCAGCAATGCAGTCGTGGTTGGGTTTGGGGGCCGGTCGGCTTGCATCTTGTTTGAACACCAAAGTTGTTGTGGAACAGGGACTTTTGGGGTCAGAGGAATCCTTACAAAATTAATTTCTGGAACCCCTGGTTGGCACTTCAGTGAGGAAGTACTTACCGTTGAATAATAGGCATTTCTGATTTGTGGCTGGAGACTAACCATGTCTGCAAATACCATGCAGAAAATACCATTTCCAAAACCACGATCCACCGGTGAAATTGGAAAATCACTGTGTGGATGAGCTGGATTGCTTTGTGTGTCGTCTCTTCAAAATATGTTTTGCACAGATAATATGTCTAATAAGGACACATTTTTAAAAATCAAGATATTTTCCCCCCTCCAGTAAATAGCTGCACTGCAGGTCGTTGTCAGGCAGTCAGCTAGCCCCACCTATGGGTGGCTTGGTGGAATTGCTGCTTTCCCTGTTCGAATGAAGTGAACTGATTGAGCAGCCCAGACAGTATTCATAAAAGTCCTAACACCTCTCTTCCCCTCTTGTGTGTTTCAGGCATCGGATGCTAGCTCCGAGAAACTCTTCAACACTGTTCTTGTAAACAAAGGTAAGACTCTTCCTTCATTCTTAAAGTAGTGCTTTAAAAAATAGATGTGTAAATTTTGCATCTTTATCTTATCCATCCTTGCCTTGGAAGGACAAAAGAAATAACCCTAGGGTAGTCTTTTTATCCTGGAGCTACTATATTTTTTCAGTTCTAACTTAAGACAGAAGTCATACCCTTTTGTGGTATTCGGACCGAAGGTGATTTTAAGAACATACTGAATGCTCAGGTTGGTTTCCCGACGAAATCACTGCTGTCTGGCTGCAGAGGCTGGACGGGACAAGACAGACCCTGGAAAAGCCTCACTGGCTTGTTATTAATCACTAGGTGCTTGGAACTGCCCTCAGACTCGAGGTGGTTGTCAGGAGATGAGGGCCATAAACCATGCCTTACTGTGCTGCAGGCTTCCTGTACGGCTAGTAGCCGAACCAGAGGGCAGGATTTAAATATGCCCTCTCCCAGTCATGCTCTCTGAGCCTCGAACTCCAAGAGGAAGGGCTGATGACACAGCCTTGTGTTGAGGGGCAGCATCCCCTATGTTGGGGCCAGTGGGCTCCATGTGTTAGGAATATTTTCAGAGAGAGTTCCTTTGCAGCGAGGGCAGTGTTGGCTGGAGGTTTGCTTGATAGCTGGGGCTGATCCCAGCCCGTCATGGTAGGTGGGGCTGGTCAGTTGTCCGCAGTTGTCTTGGGTAGCATTTTTTTGCTAGTGGGTTGGTAAGACATTTCCCAGCAAGATTATTTCCAGCTCCCAGATGACTTTGGAATGTGACGCCAGTGCAGTTGTCAGTAGTGCGTTGGCGTGGAGCTTCCTCAAAGGGGTGGCCCGCGCCCACATGACCGCTGTGGCTCTCAGAATGACTGTCCCGTTGAGTCTCGTTTACTGCATGATAGACCTCCAAGTTTAGTACTTCATTGCATTTTTTGATACGCTGAAAGTTGGTATAACTTTCTTATCCATAATGCTAAAACCTAGTAAGGTGTATGCGTTAAATTGTGGGCACCGTGGGTAATTGCCGGCTGGTGGTTTGCTGAGGGGAGAGGATTGGTGGGTGTGGGCAATGTCTGTGAGATGGAAGAGTCACAGAAGGCTGGACTGAGGCAGGTCACAAAGGCTAGTCTCCCAACCACATGGATGAGAGTGCTTTGTCTCTGGTAGATAAACGTTGGGAGTGTGTCTCCCTTTTCTGGAATGTACCACAGAGATGAATGAGTGACTGAGGCCTGAGGAGAAGGGATAGGTAGATAGGTGGATGGACAGGTAGATGGATGGACAGATGGATGAGGGGGTGGACGGACAGATAGATAAGGGCCCTCCCCTCTGCCTCCTCCCTGTGTGTCCCTCCCCGCCCTTCCCCATTTCCACTCAAACATTTCTCCAATTCTTACTTTGTTTACTTACCGAGTGTGATTTGTGCTTGTGTTTGGCTGTGAATAGCCGCCCCCTGGTAAGGGAGCCTTTCTTGCGAGCTGCACCTCTGGGGGTGATTTAGTTGCCTTGAAAGGATTAAGGGTTCTTTGTGTAGTCTAAAATCAACATGGGCTTTTTCTAAGCGTGGCTTGGGAAACCATGCACAAATAAGCATTTTAGCTGATGGCAGATTACTCCTCTGCCCCTCATTTCCATCCCAATGGCCTTTCTGTTCTCCTCCCCTGTCTCCCTTAATGCCTTATTCTGATTCTTGTGGGGATTGTGAAGAGAGGGAGAGATCCAGGGTTTGGTGGAAATCCAGGTGCCAGAGACTAAGCCCAGTGCCCAGCACCTGTCCCAGGAGTGGGGAGGGGAGGAGAGGAGAGAGGATATCAGGGTAGGGCCAGCTTGACAGGACAGAGTTGTTAAGGGGATTAGTATTCAGACCGCTAAATATCAGGCAAACAACCTGAGGAAAGGGACTCCCTCCCTGCTCAGCCGGAACATCCACAGTGGCTTCCGGACAGGTGCAGTTTCTGTCTGTGCGCCTGTGGTTTGGGTCTGTGTGGTTTCCCGCATGGGTGGCTGACAAGGCATTCAGGCACCAAGTGCAAGCACTTCCACAAAGCAGCCGGCCTGCCCCAAAGTCATCTGTCCTCTCAGTGGCTAGGTTATTGTTGTCTCCTCCTTCTCCTTGTCCTTGTCATCTTTCCTCTTCTTCCCCAAAAGCAATAAAAAGTACTTGAAGAAAAGGTACATTTACAGCCATGTAGCAAACACTACTGGGAAGAAAACAAACCTCCAAGCCCCCACGGCGGCATGCACCACGGCCTGAGCAGCAGACAGGGGGCTGGCCCAAGCCTCTCCACCTCCAGGTGGTTATGGCTGTGCTCCTGCTGCTGCTGTGACAGCGGATTTGGCTGTAAAATGTCCCTGTGGGGGAGCGGCGCTAATCTCCGGCTGGCTTTGATACTCAGCCCTAGAGGCTGAGCCAGCAAGGGGGCTCAAGCTGTCAGCCTCTGTGGGCCCGGATTGCCCATCCCCACAGAGTCTGACAGTCTGGGGCCGACCAGCCAGCATCTCCTGGAGACAGTCCACCCAGAGGAGCAGGCTCTGCGACTCACCCAGGATTTTCTTCCGCTTTGCCTAGGTCACATAGGAGATCGCTCATTGCTCAGGAAAGAACCAAAGCATCTTTTGTTCAAGCCTTCCCCAATGTCTCTTTGCATGGGTCTGTGTGTATGCACAGGTGTGGGTGTGCACGCATGCATGCGCGCATGCATGTGCACACAGGGATGTGTGTGCACCAGCATCTGGGTCTCGACTTGAGGCCTAGCACGCTCACTCACTCTTGGTTTTTTCACTTAAAGTCAGTGTTCTACCATTGAGCCACATCTCCATTTGTGGCTTTTTGCTGCTTAATTGGAGATGTTTCTTGTTTCAAACCTCCATCTCAGATCTCAGCCTCATGAGTAGCTAGGATTACAGGCATGAGCCACTTTGCTAGGCCTGTCTTAAAGCACATTCCTCAAGCATCACATACACTCCTGCCTTTGCGCATTGTGTGCCCTGAGAACTGAGCATCTCGGGGGACAGGGGCAGCTTTGAGTGGTGGAGTCAGCCTGTGAAGGTAAAACTATAGTTCCATTGTGATCAAGGTCATGGTTGCCTTGTTTAATCCTGACGCATCTCAGTGTTTACAGGGTGTTCATGTGAGTTTTATGAATCCTTCTGTCTTTGTGTCTCAGCCATCTGCCAAAGAAAAAAATTAATTTTCCCTCTGAGTTCCCGCCCCCCCCTTGCAATGTAGGAGCAACAGGCTCTGTACCCCAGTGTCAGGAGTACGTGTGCAGGAGAGGAACTTTCTAGATTAAAAAGTTGATTGTGGCCAGAGTTCATCCCTTTCTTCCCTCCTGTTCTACGCCCAGCCTCCCTTCCACTGTGGTGTGAGGACCAGGGAATGGGTGCAGCCTAGAGGGCTTCTCCCCACTTAGATAAGGTCATCTCTTCTCAGCCTCACTCCCCCCCCCACCCCCATGGCAGCCACAGTGGAGGGGGGAAGGCAAAGGTGGCCAGCCTTGCAGGGGAGACCTGGGATGATGCCAGCTCTGGTGGATGCCCTGGATGCTGGCTTTTCGTGCCTTGGCCACCCAGGCAGGCCAGACCAGCACTGAGGGGGACACCTTGCCTGGGCCAGGCTGGTGGCATGTGGGGCACAGGAGGAGAAGAGAGAGCTTCAGACTTCTCCCTCCTGGTATGAGTGTTCCCTCCCCCTTCCCCCGGCCCCATACCTGTCCTGGAGACCCCTGGGACATCCAGTCACCAGGAAGTCCAGGTCACCTCCTTCCTCCTTCCCTGGCCTCAGCTGGGCCTGGCAGGCCTGAGGACCAAGCACACCGGGCCCCTGCTGGTTGACAGTGTGCTGTGGGCTTTAGGGGTTTAGCTTTAGCATGGGCTTGAACTCAGGGCCTCCTGCTCTTGCCTTTTCTGCTCAAAGCTAGAGCATTGCCACTTGAGTCACACCTCCACTAATGGCTTTTTGCTGGGTTACTGGAGGTAAGAGTCTCACAGACTTTTCTGCCAGGATGAGCTTTGAAATTTGATCCTCCAGATCTTAGCCTCCTGAGCAGTTAGGATGACAGGTGTGAGCCGCAGGCGCCTGGCACTGTCCCTGGTTTAATAACCAGGTGTGTCGTAGTGACGCCACTCATTTCTTAACATTTGGAACACACAGGCATCCCCAGCAAGGCCCTCTTATGCATCTTCTGAATCCCCTTCCACCTCAGCCTCTTGCATGCTGGGGTGACCAGCACGCACCTCCAGGCCTGGCTACCATTGTGCTTTAAGCAGACTTACTGGCCTGAGAAAACCCCATGTGTGGAGCATGCTGTTGGCCATGAAATAGCTTTCTTAAAAAAAAAAAAATCCCTTCCTGGGGCTGGGAAGGTGGCTCAGTGGTAGAGCGCTTGCCTTGCATGCCTGAGGCCCTGGGTTCGATTCCTCAGCACCACATAAGCAAAAAGAAAA